TCAAAATTTCCCGATGTTATTACTGATAGAACTCAGTTACAAAGATTTTTGGGAAGTTTAAATTATATTTCGCCTTTTTATAAAGATTTGTCGCGTGATTTAGCTCCTTTATATGACAGGCTAAAAAAGAATTATAAAAATCCTTGGACTGATAATCATACTACTTTGGTTAAAAATATTAAGCAGCGTGTTAAATCTTTACCTTGCTTAAACCTTGCTAATCCTGCATGGCAAAAGATTATAGAGACTGATGCGTCTAATATTAATTACGGAGGGATTTTGAAACAGGTAAATCCCAATGATAAACATGAATATCTGATTAGATTTTACTCTGGTAAATGGTCTGAAGCCCAGAGAAAATACGCTACTGTGGCACATGAAATGTTAACCATAGTAAAATGTGTTTTAAAATTTCAGGACGACTTATACAATCAAAATTTTTTGATAAAAACTGATGCACAGTCTGTTAGATATATGTTTAACAAAGGCTTTAAACATGACGCCTCGAAAATGATATTTGCAAGATGGCAGGCACAATTAGCCCCTTTTGATTTTGAGATACAATATAAAAAGGGAATTGATAATTCTCTGCCTGACTTTTTATCTCGTGAATATCTACAGGATGGAACCCCCCTGGGGTAGGGGAAGAGGTAGAGGTTGGGGAAGATCATCCCCACAGTCCAAAGGAAGGTCATCACCTTCGGGATCGTCATACGGATCCTCATCAAACTCCCCAGTTATACANTATCAAACTTTTCAGTTATACAAATGGGAAGAAAGAGTTTGGTTAATGAGAGGATATCTCTCAGAGAAGAATCATCAATTGGACCATCCGTCCATCTGGAAGATATTCCAAAAGATAGCCCGTTATATACACATTTGCAGGCATATTTGACTGCTCAAAAACAGAAAGATACTTCTGTTAAGCAAAGTGATACTTTTGCTTCAATTTCTAAAGATGACACTGATGATATCAAGTCATACGAGAAAGTGTCAAAAAGAGAAATAATATTTCTCTTGGAAAACTCTAACATTCAGAGAAAAGAAGAACCTTGGAAGATATTCCAAAGGTATTTAATAAATGGGTTATATTATCCGGGGGAGTCATACAGAATCCGTTACTACTATGAAATAATACTAACCAGTACTGGCAGTGCAGATTTTCAGCACTTTTCTGGGTATAGCACAGACGAGAACGTTTATAACTTCTCGAAGATTATAATTAAACAGATTATATCTGTTGAAGATTGGGGTATATCCACAATGAAAGAAAGGCAGATAAGCCTTAACAAAAGTAAAATGAATTTTACCTATTGGGATTATATCCAAACCTTTGATAAAGTACTTTACTACAATAATGATAGACACAAACATACTTGGTTTATAAAGGTATATGCAAAGATATTTGCAGCAACTGTTCCTAATTGGTTTCTGAACTGGTGGTCATACCACGGTCCAACAATAAAAATTTTACCAAATCCATTTCTCAGGTTATAAAAAGAATGGATTAAAACTTTCCCATTTATAAACAACTTATATCACTCAGATCATATATGTTACCCTGATAGAATCAACTAGATTTATTTCTTTCTGGAATTCTCTATTCCATGGATACACAATTGGAATCCAGAAGTCGGATTCACAGAAGAACAAGTCCCATGCTTATACAGGACTTTCTACAACAACTTTTGGGATAAGTTAATGAAGAAGGATCCCAAAACAAAGACATTATATGGTCAAGAATTCTTGGATTCAATAGAAATAAAAATTCAGGAATATTCCGGCAAACCTCAAAAAGAGGTAATTGATGACAGTTCAGTTAGGCATATTGCCAGAAGAATCTCCTTTCAAGAAGGAGATAAAGCAGAAATGATTAACGCTTACTTGGAAGAAGTCAAAAGAAATTTACTTTATTCCATTAATCAATACGAGAAATCAGATACGTCAATGCAAAGTGAAACAAGCAACGATGATATCGTTGAAGATTCTCAGCCCATTGAAACAGAGAAAATATTATCTGAGGAAGACTTAAATGATGCAGAAGAATTCATCCACAAAATGAAAGAAGCGGAGAAGAGACCAGCACAGTGAAACAGCTGGACCCCACAAAAACAGTGAAGCTGCCGGACCCCACAAAAATAGTGAAGCCGCCGGACCCCACTCAAACAGTAGATACACTGTTCATCAACAGTAGATACACTGTTCATCAACAGTAGATACACTGTTTCAACAGTGGAAACACTGTAACAGGGACCCACGGGACCCACTTTTTACTGTTCATAGATTCCTTTCCTTTTTCTATTTATAGAATTCATTCGTTCATTTTTAGGAGGCAGAAGTCGAGATCCTCTCTCTCTAAAACCCTCTCTCTCTCTAAGTTTGTAAGTAAGGAGTTTTTAGCTAGTAGCTTGTAATAGAAGAACACAAGTAAATAAAGTTTTCAGTTCTTCATCTTCAGGGCCTTGAATCTTGGCCACAAGGTAAATATTTCCTTCCTAATTAGTTTTTCTTTTTCTTCTAGTCTCTCCTCTCTGGCCGTGACGATGTCCGGCTAAGAGACATCATATCTATGTTGAGTATCTAACTTCTCTCTTATATACACCATGAAAGCGACGGCATCTATTAAAATATAAATGAGTTTTATATATAGGGTTTTGACTTGGTGTCAAGATGGTTGGTACAGTCTAATATAACACTGCTCTTATTGGCTTTGCCTTAGTGGCTTCGTCTAGCCAGCCGTGAACCTCAGCCCGATAAAGGAGTTAAAAGGGCATCTTCTTTCACGGTTAGAACTGCTAGACACATGGGCTCAATAAAAGTATGTATTATATTATGACAGACCCCTTGCTTGAGTAAAGGTTTTTAACCTTCCATACAGTCATTAAACTATATATAAAATTCAAGTATATTTCAATTCTTATCCTTACTGATTGTGCGGATTACCGCCAGTCTTTAAATATAAGGGTACTGAATTAGCTAGATTAAGAATTCTCAAATATGTTAAAATAGAAATCTTTAACTGGTGGAAACCTTCCAGGCATATAAAAGCCAGATGTGAGGTGTGAAACAAGTCCAGTTCCCGGTCAAACGGTGATTTCTGTTTTAATTTAATTGAGAAGGCATGGCGGATTACCGCCCGCCACTTGATATATATATAAAATCTGAAATTAACAAGAAAAATAGCATAGAAGATCCGGGTCAATCTCTCTACTTTGAATTCAAACTTCTTTCCTTTCATTTTATCCTTAATTATCTTTATGTCACGATCCCAATCTCTTACCTTAGAATATTGTGATGACACCTAGTCTCTAAGACTAGGTAAGCCTAACATTTGATAATAACATAACAGAAATATCCAACTGTGATACTAAGTACAACAGATAAACTCATATTAACTTCCAACATATAACCTCAACAACAATATTCCCAAAATCGGTGAAACTGATTCATAAGTTCTATAGAATGCTCTAAAATGTCTACTACAACACTGTCTGATAAAGTAAACAATGGAATGAAAAGATAAGGGAAGGTGACTCCAAGACTTGCGGACGCCGAGCAGGTATACTTTGAAGTCTCCGGAAGGCAGCTAACAAGTCAATTACTAGCGTCCAACATGGGCAGACGTACTTAGATCTGCACAAAAAAGAGGTGCAGAAGCGTAGTATAAGTACACTATAACGGTACCCAATAATTATCAAGCCTAACCTCGGTAGAATAGTGACGAGGCCAGGTCAAGACACCTACTAGGACATGATAAATCGAACAAAATATAATAACGAGGAGTAATGAAAAAGCGGCGAAATGAATGATAACAAAGCAATTTAATAACGTAAACAAATTGCAGAATCGTAAGCATAGAGATAACAAGAAGGAAGCAATTAATGAGAACCACAAATAGTCAAATACGGACAAAACTGATAAGACAAGAAATACTAAAAGCAACAAGAACTGTCCAACCAACAACTCTTTTCATTATGAAATGCACAACAAGAATCACAACCGATGTACCACCTCATATTCACTTTTAACAATTTCAATCACAATCTTTCCTTATACCGACGTGTGAGCCTTACATTTAGATAGTTTGAAATTATTTTTCTCGAAATAGCTACACGCACTTTAGCCCACCTTATGACGCCGCTTGGCTTCATGTAATTCCCTTACTAACAACACGTACATAAATCTCACCTTATGATTCCGCATGCACGTTAAACCCTATCCTTAAACCGCCGCATGCTCATCAATATCACAACACAATAACAACTAGCACCACAAGTGGTCATATGCTACAACTTGCCAAAAATCAACAATATTAATATTTTCACAACAAAAAACCCATGGCTAAATAACAATGTGTACAAGAAAATCAACAATAACAATGAATGTGAATTGCTCAACAAGGCAGTGGCGGATGTAGAGTGTCGGGACCGGGTTCGGCCGAACCCAGTAACTTTGAAACCATTTTTCTCAAAATAGCTACACGCACAACCCTGTGTTTGTCTTATAAAATCCATTGAATATGTATAAATGATTAATTTAGAACCCAATAACTTTTAACGATTAGAATCCCAAACCCATAAGCTTGAAATCCTAGCTCCGCCTCTGCAACAAGGAAGATATATCAAAAATTAACAACTTCGACAACCTTCACAACTTCAACACCAATAACTCAATAAGAAGATATTTCACGAAATATTAACTTCAAGTAAAAGTAATCCAACAATTAAGGATTTAACAAGGCAATAAGGAAGGCAATAACTTCAACTAAAGCATATAAGAGCAAAGTATCAAGTAAGAGATAGAACAAGTGTTAACAAAGTCAAGTAAAGCATGTAAGGATAGACTAACACATGTAAGAGTAGATTAACAATGAGAATTAAAACATGATATGACAATCCAATTAAAGGCATGGAATGAGTCTAAATAATATATAACCTGTGTATTCACTCGTCACCTTACGTACACGGATTTCACATAATACAAATAGCACAATCAATCCCAAATCCTAAGGGGTAGTTCCCCCATAAACAGTTTACCTTAACTAGATGAACTCAACCCTCAAAAATAGTTTTTCCCCTAAAATGCGCCTCCACACGGCTCAAATCTAACAAATATTGACTTAATATCATCAACAATGCTAGGAAAAACAATTACAATAGATAAAGCCATGATCTTTACACTTTTTCCAAAATGTCAACAAAAGTCAACTCCAGGCTTGCCCAGTCAAAAACCGGGTCCAAGAGTATATTCCGACTACCCATAACTCCACGAGTCCATATATGTGATTAGTTTCAAAATCCAAGTTCAAATCGACTCTCAAAACTCAAATTCTCATTTTTCAAAAACTTGACAAAATTTTCCAATTTTCCCTCTTTGATTCACATAAATTTGTTGTTAAATCTAAGATATAATCATGAAATATAGTTGGAAGTTGATTATAATCACTTATACAATGTTTGTAGATGAAAATTCCCACTCCAATTCGCCTCCTACCGAGTCTAGGGTTCTAAATGAAAGAATATGTTAAAAACTCCTGACTCCCAACCCTTTTGATCAGTTGCACCCCAGGGCGAGACACTGGGTCTAATGAATCTTTGGTCAAGCAAGTCTTATAACTGCTCTTTCAACTCCGGCGGGGCCAT